TTGTGGCATGATGTACTGTATATCGTATCACATGTGATCTCCCTAGTTCCCTGCCAGTTCCTCGATAGTTCTAGGAGAGTTCCAGGAGCTGGCGAGTTTCTATAAATCACGAGATGATCGGCCAATCAGATTTCACCGTCCTTGATCTATTGACATGATAGCTAAGCCACCGTTATTATTTGATTAATCATTATATTGATCGATTAATTTGCCTCGCAATGATCCTAACACATCACTCGATATTTTTTATATAATAGTCCTAGAGAATCTTCTCACTATGTAGTCAACTATGGAGTTCTCTAATACCCAGCTTCGCATCCTCATTGATGAACGAAAAAATAGAAATGTAGAGTATCACACTACTACAAATAAAAAGAAGTATCTCTTTTGGAACGAGATTGCGGAAAAGATAAATGATCAAGAAAATACTAATTACTTCACTGGTGACGCCTGCCATAAAAAATTCTTAGGTCTTACGAAAGCTTTTTACGTAAGTAGTGTCCTGCTTAGTTAGCTTTGCTAACCCTGACCGGTCAATAATGCTTATTATTATTTTAGACAGCGGAAAAATATAAAGAAGGTACTGGAACGAAAAGAAGTTTAGTTGGCGAAGAAATTTACGAAGAGTTCTCAACAATGTTCTGATTAAAACCAGGTATGTTTCTGTAGAAAATAAGTTGGTGATTATCTCTGCGAAGTGCCTTGCGAAGCGCCTTGCAACGCACCTTAACGGCAATGGCTAACGGCAAATTAAACACGATTCTATCTATCACCATTCGCTAGATCTTCCATTCGAGCAAGTGCGTAATGAAAATGTTAGGTCAAATAGTGCGAATTCTTCTGAGGCATCATCCTCTTCAATCTCACCTAAACGGCCCAAAGGGAAATCAAGTTCTGAGCAACAACCATTGGAAAAGGCTGTCAAGGACCCCCTTAAATCACCATCACTCACAACATCAAATCCGTCAACTGTCGAAACAGCTAACACTTCCAGACCCGTAACCCCAACAATTCCTTCTTTTTCGCAAAATGCGAATGTGATCAATGTTACCATCAATTATGGTAAAGGGTCAGACGAGCAACAGGAATAAGATTTTTTCATTAGTATAGAATAGCGAATAGTTTAGTAAATTTTATATTTCATAGCTTGTAAAGCACACATATGTTTAAAAATTCAAAGTAAAATCTTTATTTGTCATTTATGGCCGATCCGTTAAGCAAAAAAAGTGAATAAAAAAGTAAAATAATAGATCGAAAGACCGGAGGAATGTAATGATTGAAATAAATGATGCTATCAAAGAGGGAGGGAGTTCTCGGATCCTAAGCCATAAATGAGA